GTAATTTATATTAACTGTTCTGTAGGGTTTGGGGCTACTTTTCAAAAGATGGATAAATATTTCTGTGTATTTATCCTTAAAGTAAAGTGCTAGGGGTAGAATTGCTATGTCAAAGGTTATACTTATTTTTTTAAATTGTCATCTCTGCAGGTTACATATTAGTTTTTAAGTGAAGTATATTCATGAACTTCTTGGTCTGGAAGTGAAGTTTAATTTTGCCCCCATAATATAAACTATTGCAGTTTTTCTAATTTTGTGATTTTAAGAAATCTTTTAATTCAAGTGGTAGCGTTATAAACGTAATGATCAATACTTAGTAAACACAGCAGTCACTGAAGAGTCAGTAAATGTTTTCTGAGGAAATGGATGAATGACCATGTTTGGAGCAGCATCCTCCATACACCGGAAGGTGGCAGGTTTGATTCCCAGTCAGGGGACATACTGAGGTTGCAGGTTCAGCCCCTGGTCCAGGAGTGTATGGGAGGCAGCCAATCTCTCTCCCTCTTTTCTCCCTCTCCTTCTCCCTCCTTTCCCCTCTCTCTAAAATCAATAAGCATATCCTCGGGCGTGGGTTTTAAAAATGTAATCAGCTAGACGGCATGAGTGATCTTACATGCACGCTGTGCAGCCAACATAGCCAGATAGGTCCTTGATTTTTGTTCAAATGACAGATTATATTGTTTTGGAGCAGTGACTCTCAACCTTGGCAGCACATCGTAGTCACCTGGCAAGTTTTAGGAAATGCTGCAGAGTAGGCATTGATTTCTAAAAGCTCCCTGATGATTCTACTGTGCAGCCAAGTTTTTATGCTCTATTACGCGGGCTTGATACCAGACCAGACCATAAAATTAGAATCTCCAGGGGTAGGACATGGGCAAGAGCATTTTCCAAAGCTCCCTGGGTGAATTCATGTGCAGACCAGCGTGAGAACCACCGAAAGCGTCCTCAGATGAATTCCGCAACCTCTGTTTTACAGGCGAGTATAGCTGAGACCTAAGCACTCCATGGTCTTTCCCAAAGTTAAATGGCTGAGTAAATTCCATATTATAGGTCAGGCCACGTCTAGCACAGGGACTCAAAGAACAGAAGAAACGATTTTTAAAAAGAAAAGAAATGCGAATCGAAACCACGAGATATCACCTCACACCTGTTAGAATGACTATTTTCAATAAGACAGGAAATAAGTGTTGGTGAGGATGTGGAGAAAAGGGAGCCCTCATACACTGCTGGTAGGAGTGTGAATTGGTACAGCCACTATGGAAAATTGTATGGAGATTCTGCAAAAAATTAAGAATAAAGCTACCATATGACCCAGCAGTCCCTCTTCTGGGTATCCACCCAAAAAAATTTGAAAACACTTATTCATAAGGAAATATGTATCCCTATATTCATTGCAGCATTATTCACAGTGGCCAAGACATTGAAACAACCTGTGTCCTTCAATGTTTGGATAAAGAAATGGTACATGTAGAAAATGGAATACTACTCAGCCATAAAAAGATGAAACAGTACTATTTGCAACATGAATGGATTTGAGAGTGAAATATAGTAAAGGACAAGAACTGTATGCTTCACTCATATGTGGTATGTAAAACAAAAACTAACAAATGAACAAATAAAACAAACAAAACAACCATATATATACATATATATACACTCAAATAAAAGACAAACATGCAAATTAACCGTACCTTTGCTATGCCTTAAGCGACGCCCACCAGCCAATCAGAGCGACTATATGCAAATTAACCCAACCAAGATGGCGGCCGGCAGCCACGAAGTGGCTGAAGCCAGCAGGAGGCTTGGTTTCTCCAGTGATGGAGGAAGCCAAGCTTCCTGGCTGGCCCTGAACTCCACTCAAAGCAACAAAGTTTCAATTATAGAACGTAAATAAATCCCAGAATTTAAAAAAAAAGAATAAAAGGAGAGGCTGGGAGCTTCCATCACCGGGGGGGCTTGGCCAGCCTGAAAACGGCCCTCAGCCCCTCACCCAGACTGGCCAGGCACCCCAATGGGGACCCCCACCCTGAAAGGGGTGTGACCAGCTGCAAACAGCCATCAGCCCCTCACCCAGGCTGGCCAGGCACCCCAGTGGGACCCCCACCCTGATCCGGGACACCCTTCAGGGCAAACCAGCCGGCCCCCACCCATGCACCAGGCCTCTATCCTATATAATAAAAGGGTAATATGCAAACTGACCCTAACAGCAGAATGACAGGGAATGACTGGTCACTATGACACACACTGACCACCAGGGGGCAGACACTCAATGCAGGAGCTGCCCCCTGGTGGTCAGTGCGCTCCCACAGGGGGAGCTCTGCTCAGCCACAAGCCAGGCTGACGACTGCCAGTACAGCAGTGGTAGTGGGAGCCTCTCCTGCCTCCTCAGCCGCGCTAAGGATGTCCGACTGCAGTTTAGGCCTGATCCCCGCTGGCAAGTGGACATCCCCCGAGGGCTCCCGGGCTGCCAGAGGGATGTCTGACTGCCAGCTTAGGCCCAATTCCCCAGGGAGCGGGCCTAAACCAGCAGGTGGTCACCCCCAAGGGGTCCCAGACTGCGAGAGGGCAAAGGCCAGGCTGAGGGACCCTCCCGAGTGCACAAATTTTTGTGCACCAGACAGGGAGAGGATACAGAGGGTGAAGGTGACTAGACTTTGGGTTATAATACAAAAAAATAAGGTGTACAGATGTTGTATTATAAAGTTGTACACTTGAAATTTATATAACATTAACCAATGTTATCCTAATAAGTTGAATTAAAAAAATAATCTGTGTGTGGGTGGGGGGAATAAAAGAAAGTTTTCAGACTATCAAAAATAGATAAAAATATGGCAACATTTAGAATCTTTTAGAAGAACTAGCCAATGCGTCTTATCTAGTTATTGCTTCTTCACCCTCTGGTCAGATTATTTACTAAATCATCTAAGCCCATCTTGCATTTTAAGTGATTCTGAAAAGCCTAATTTGGGGAAGAGTCTTGGGAGTATGACTGTTTTATACCGGAGGGGGGCGGGGTGTCCCATGTCCTAGTAATCAGTCCATTAATGCATTAATGGCTGGGGTATAACAGAATGGAAACAATGGGAAAAGAGAAGGTACATCTTTAGAGGACTGACTGTTCTGTGCTGGGTTTCCTGTGTGGAAAATCAAACGACTTGCTACTAATTGTTTGTGTGTGAAAGTCTTTGGCAGTGATGCCAACAAAAGCACAGGATAGTGTGTCTGTTCAAAGCAAAACACATCAGATTATGTATTCAGCAAATTCTTATTATCAGAACCTTCGTCATGTGAATGATTTGCTTTTAGGCTGGGCTTCAGGAGGCCCTTCCTGTGAACAGACGACTGGGCTATTAAACACAGAGCTGCCAAGGCAGAGCCACAGGTGGCCATGACTTGGCAAGTGATAAAACACCAGCACCCTGAGGACAATAAAAAATGGACAGGATTTTCCATCTGGTTTTTAATATGTATATACAGCACAAAAGAGTTTCTTGGGGAACACTGAGTTTTACGATTGGACATAATGCCCAGTATATTTCCCTGTTACCAAGCCCATACTTAAATTTGAGAATTTTTTACTCGAAATAACTGATTTAAATATCTGCATAAAGGCAGTATTTCTGCTGAATAATAAGTAGCTGTATTCTTTTACTAATCCCCCATTTCTTCTTATGTTTTTAAGGATTCGTCGTTAATATTTACACTCTGTGTAACCTTAGAAAAAAGGCATGTAGAACGTGTGTACTGAGAATTTTACAAATCCACACACTTCACCTTCTCTCTCACTCTCAGCCACAATACAATGCTCACAAGATGTCAATCACCTACCTGTACAGACCTTTGCACTCATTCCCTCCACAGTACATGCACATATTCCCTATTAGTCTGATCCTTCCCAAGCTCCTGAGATTCTCACGTTAACCCAAACTTTATTGTAGCTACCACTTTTCAATTTCACTCCATATTATGTTCAGTATATGATCCCCTATACATAATATATATTTGCTTTCCTGTAAATCCTCCAAATTAATCCTATATAATAAAAGCCTAATATGCAAATTGACCCCTCAGGCAGTGGTTCCATGGGAATTTGACCACTCACTATGATGTGCGCTGACCACCAGGGGGCGGTGCCAGGCCAAGGCAGGGTGCCAGATGGAGCTGTGAGGCTGGGGGGGTGCAAGCCTGGGGGCATGAGCTGGGGCTCAATCCCAGCAGGCCACCCTGAGGGACCCCACCCGTGCATGAATTCATGAACCGGACCTCTAGTTTACTTAAATAAGAGTTTCTTAAAATGAGTTTCAGAGTTTCTCATTGATAAAGCATTCTTAAAAAAAAAATGTATTTTAAGTGGCAGTTACTTTATTCGCTACTAAGGCAAATTAGGTATGACCTGAATCAACAAATGGATTTAATTGAGAAGGATTACTTTGAAACTTTTGGAATTCTATAGCAAATTGGATTAAATTACTTATACCACATAACTCTCTTGAAAAAATGGGATTTGATAAAGCAATCACTTTGAAAAGTATTCTAATAGTATATACCTGAGTATCATGAACACAACACAAGGACCTACGGGTGTTAGTCACTAACTCCCTAAGGCAAACACTTTTGGAGGGAAGCAGTGTTCATCGTGTCCACGACCTCACTTCTCTGAAAACTATATAGCTGCCCATGCTCCAAAGTACACTCAATACTTTCCCTTATTCAAAACTATTTTCATAGTGCCTCCCTCCCTTAGTGAGCATATGAAAAGTAACCTTACTCTGCTGTTCTTAATGAGATAAAAAGTAAAGAAAAATAGAGATGAACTACCTCAAATATCCATTACTTTAAAGGTAAGTCACACACACACACACACACACAGGCAGAGAGACAGAAAAGAACTCTAATCCCTCTGTGAGAATTTTTCCAATTGAATGGCAGAGAAATTAATCAGACAAAGGAAGGAGACAGGATCCATTAGAGAACTGAATGTCAAATGCTTACACCTTTTATTATGTCATTTCCTGAGGGCGGCATATGAGAGAAAAGGGAGCATTTCTGAGAAGGGTACAGAAACCCTGCTCCGGAGAGAGTAGGTAACTTACCCAGCCAGGTCTTGCCCCCAGTGCACTGTACAAATAAGAATTCTTCCTACGTGTGCAGTGTCAGAGCAAATTTAAAGAGCAATACTTTTTTAACATGGAGCCCTCTCGTAGCCCACTAGTAGTCTATCCTGGTTGTCAGAAATTGGCAGTTGAGAAAGCTGTTGTAGCCATTGGTCAGAAGCAGAGCTGAAGTGCCCAGTGGAGCCAGGGAAGGCCACCTCATGGTCACCAAAAAAAAAAAAAAGTTTTTCAGTTAATCCTGTGGCAGCTATGCAATGATGTTGTGATCTGAATTATGGACACAAGGCTCAAATCTATTGCAATTTCCCTTGGAAATTCTGATGTGTACTGCTTCGATTATTTGGATAGTAAAAATGCTGATGTACTTTTGAAACCAAAATGTGGGGTGTTGAGTCAGAGTTCATAGTCTTGCAAAATCGAAGAATGAAGTTGCAGACAAAAATGGTTATTGGAACCAAAGTTTACTGAGAGCATCCATGGGAATTAAAGTGTATTAGTCCATGTATAGAGTCCCATATGGCCATAAGCCACACTGGCGCTGGGATGTGCTCCCCTGCCACTGCGGGTTGGGGAGAAGAGTGCACCTTTTCATTTAGGGTGTTGAGACAGCCTTGCGAGCTCCTAATTGGTCTTTTCAAAGAATTCTGCCTTAGCAACATCCTTGGGATTGGTTTATATGCCTTACTGCCTTGTGATTGGTTATCTGCACATTGTCTGTCTCAGCAAAGTTGGTATGTTTTAAAGGTCATGTCAAGTCTCTCACCCATGCCCTCTTTTCCCTGCCCAGTTGGGGTGCCTTAGTAACTCCCCCTAGCTGGGTGCCCCGGTTTTATTTCCTTCCCTCCCATGGTCCCAATTCCTGACTACCTAGCTTCCGTCTCCTCCCTTTGAGGGAAAATAAGCCAGCAAAGATTTTCTACTAGAGCTGAAAAGTATCATAAAACCAGTGAGACAATGAGACTCATTACAGAAGCCTTTGTTGCCCTCGAGTCACCTGCAGTGGCGGTGAGTCTTCTGACGTTACAAACTCTGTGCTTGGCAGCACTTAGATTGAGATGTGAACAGGTCCACCTTTCCTGTGGGGGATACAGTAGGTTATCTCTCAACTAATAACAGAAAAGTAAGTCTCCTAAAATTTTACTTCATACAGTTAAGGTGCCTCATCTTAAAGGACAAAAATAGTCATCAAAGAGACATAAAATCTTCTCTAGTCCCAAGTGATTGAAGGTAAAAATAACCTGAAAGGATCTTAGAAGAATGTAGAACAGCATCAGAGAGAAATAGTTAAAGGTTTTGAAGAAAATGTTCAGCTTCAGGAAAGCCTAAACCTGCTTAACACAGTAAATTGCTAAATGGTATGAAAGAGTGGCAGCTGGTGTGGCTCAGCTGGTTGAGCGTTGTCCCATGCATCAAGAGGTTGCCAATTTGATTTCTGGTCAGGGCATATGCCCAGGTTTCAGGCTCAATCCCCAGTAGAAGGTGTGCAGGATGAAGTCAACCAATTTTTCTCTCTCATCTATGTTTCTATCTCACTCTCCCTTTCCCTCTAAAAAAATCAATAAAGACATAGTAAAAAGGAGTGGCAGAGCTGAAAGAACAGAAAGAAATGCTTGAACATTTGAACACATGAGAAAACAGGATAGAGAGTCCATTAAAATCCATGACTGCATCCGGACTGAAGCTGATAAACTTACCTGCTCTCTTTATAAAACATTACATGACTGCAGCAACAGGAAATAGAAACAAGAGTGAAGCAGAAAATGGAGACCAATATTGCCGGTCAGATGTTGATTTGAGGAAACTCATCGATTATATTAACTTAAATGCTACCTTAAACTCAAAAAGAGAAAAACAAGGGGTATCTTCAATTACATGAAGAAAACTACTTGCACAAATTATTTATAGTGTGAATTTTAAAACCTCCAACCAGAGTAATGTGAAGATTTAAAATTTCACAGTGAAGTTCAAAGTCTTCAGGTAAGACTCCACAGACATCCTGATCCACATCCAGAACATGAAATGCAACTTCAAAGGAGAAGGGAATTTACCACTTAGAAATAGAGGACAACCTGCCAAACCGGTTTGGCTCAGTGGATAGAGCGTCTGCCTGCGGACTGAATGGTCCCAGGTTCGACTCTGGTCAAGGGCACATACCTTGGTTGTGGGCACATCCCCAGTAGGAGGTGTGCAGGAGGCGGCTGGTCGATGTTTCTCTCTCATCGATGTTTCTAACTCTCTATCCCTCTCCCTTCCTCTCTGTAAAAAATCAATAAAATATATTAAAAAAGAAAAAAGAAAAGAAATAGAGGACAACCTTCCCACAGTATATGAAAACATCAGCCTTACACATCAAACCCTTGATTCCTGCAGGAAGATGGCAAAACACCTGGAGGAAAAATATTTGAAAGCACATGGCCTTCACAGGAGGGACAGTTCTCATGAGAAAATGGCTCAAGAATGTTCGTTGACAATTCGATTGACCAAGAAAAAGAAGCAGGCAATTGACTTTGACTCATATTTTAATGGTACTTCAAATTCTTGTTGCCTCTCTAAACATATCTCTGAACCAAAGATCCACTGCTTTTATAAGTTAACTTCATTATCATCATTTGGTGTGTTGTTGTCTAAATGAGCATTATTTTTCAATACATCAGAAATATCTAAAAACTTTTTAAGTATTACATTTGTATACTTTGGAAAGTAAATAATTCTCTTGAGCTATCCCTCTGCAAATCCAAGTTGATTAAATTTGGTACCTTAATAAATTATTTACGGTAATTAGTTGATTAATGGATTAAACAACTAGGAGTTGCTTGTCATAGAAAGGATAGCACTGGCATAGAATGGTTGGTAAAAATAGTATGATGGCCAGAACAAAAGCTTTGGGATATATACTAGTACCTTCCAGGGGAGCAAAAAGAAGAGAAGCAATTAATTTGTACTCTGGCAGCTGGGCCCCGTGCAGACACCAGGAGGGCCGATCCTGGATGCCACTGCCCAAGTCAGAGGCTGTTTCCTGCCATATGGTGTTGGTTGTTGATAAGCATGTGTTTATCTAGGTCTGGCGGCCAGACTCTCCACTGATAAACACACCAGTCTGAACACAGCATCGAATGGCACTGCCTCGTCATCAGTTCCCTGCATACGTGTGAACCTGGAGCAAAATATACCGGAGAGAAAAGACTAATTTTAGAAATAGAGAGAAATATTGAAGAAAAACCACCCCCAGCCTCTAACTTCTTATATATCCTAGCCAAAAATGTTAAATGTGAGGAGTTGGTGGAGATTGGGGGGAAGGGGGGAGTGACATTATACACATAAACTAAAAGTTTTGTATATATATATTTATATATATATCAAACCAACTAGCCAAATTTGCATCTTTGCAATAAAAAACATAACTCATAAAACTGCCAAGATTGCCAAATTTTAAAATCAGGCTCTGACTTTTCTCCAAAAATGCTTGTTAATAAAAACAAACAAACAACAAAACAGAAAACCAAACAGGGGGGGGGGGGCAGGGAATCATAAAAATAGATAATATTTGGCCTGGCTGGCATGGCTCAGTGGTTGAGCGTGAACCTATGAACAAAGGAGGTCACGATTTGATTCCCTGTCAAGGCACATGCCTGGGTTGTAGGCTTGATCCCCAATGTGGACATGCAGGAGGAAGCTGATCAATGATTCTGTCTCAACAATGATGTTTCTATTTCTCTGTTCTTTCCCTTCCTCTCTAAAATCAATAAAAATATATTTTAAAAAATAGATAATATTTGTTGTATACTTAGTGCAAGGGTACATGGATTATCAAAGCTCACAACAATGCAAGGAACTGGTAATATTAAACATTTGGATTTTCAAGCTAAAGAAATGAAATTCTAGAATGGTTAGATAACTTGCCCTGAATTTGAACCTGGTCATCTGACTCCAAGCGCCATGAAGTTCTGTGTTAAAGAATACACACGCTGCCCTTTTCAAGCCAGTGCTAGCCTCCAGAGTATGAGGAATGGGACTGCTTTCCCCATAACAACAAAGCGCCCTCTAAGAAAGCACACCGGCTTAGCTTGATTTACCAACGATCACCTTAGGAGTAGACAGCTCGGGGGAGGAAAATTCTCTTTGATTTTCTGATGCCTCCTGAAGCTGAAACTTGGCAAAAGAAATGGGGTCACCTCTTCCTTTTAATATTAATTCATCTGCAGTGTGAATATCTGAGAAATGTCTGAATAGGTGCCACAGCAGCACAGAATATAATGCAGGAATTATGTCCCAGTTCCTGGTTTCAATTATCACAAAAAGCAAATAAATGAAAAATACTTGTTATCATGCCTTTCCAGCCTATTCTATAATGCCAGGGATGGAGGGAATCTTCATTCTAGAGAGCCATAATAGCTACAGAAATATTTTCAGCATTCACCTAAGTATAAACTCTGAATAACTAGCATAAGCTTTTAATCTCTAAGTAGAATGGGACTTTAAACATTATTTTTAAAGTTACACATTTTTTAGAGAAAAGGGAAAGCCAGCACCAATTATACATTAGCTAAAATTCCCAAAAAAAGTATAAGAATTGAAAAAGCACAAAAATTATAAGAATGAAGCATGAAATGATTAAGTAATTTATTCATCTTACCAGGTCCATCAATGTTACATTTTAAATATATTTGAATTGATGGCTTCAATTCTCAGTATATATCTTTCAGTAAATAATTGAATAGCATATGTAAATGATTTTGACGTTACTAGACTGAGAAAATTTATCTGTACCCTCCTGTTCTTCAGAGGTTATTTATCATTATCATGGATAGTTGAGTCTGTGGTTCTTTCATAAATTCATGTTTTTATTTATATGTGCATTGAAAACTTAAAAGTCACGCTGCTAGAACATGGGTCAAAAAAGCTTGTGAAAATGACAATTTTATTATTCATGACCTATTTTTTTCTTAAGGCTCTTTCTTATTCCCTTGAGATTTCATTCTCTTCCCTAGACCAGCCTATACTAGTATGTTAACCCTCAGAGGTGATGTCTGTGATATAATAGAAGCTTCTGGAAGTTCTATTGCTGAGAATTTCAAACTCTCTGAAGTTTGGATAGACAGTACCTTGTAACATCAATAATTCAAAATGTGATCTGGATTCTAAAAAGAGAAAAACAGAATAATAAGAATAAGAAAAATGGGGGGTTCTATTTTTTAAAAATCATCAATACACTAGTTCATTTCCCCATGAAGAAATTAAACAACATTAACTAGGCACCTGCTAAGAACTTGTCTTCCTAATAGAGATGCAAATAAAAAGGTGACCAAAACAGCCCTGGCCAGCTCAGCTCAGTTGCTAGAGCGTCAGCCCATGGACTAAAGTATCTTAGGTTCAACTCCGGTCAAGGGCACATACTTCAGTTGCGGGCTCAATCCCAAGCTCAATTCCTGGCCCTGGTTGGGGCACATGTGGGAGGCAATCAATCAATGTGTCTCTCTTACACCAATGTTTCTCTCTCCATCCCTTCCACTCTCTCAAAAAAGCAATGGAAAAAATATCCTCAGGAGAGGATTAACAACAACAAAAAAGATGACTAAAACAGGGAAGTCCTAGACTTTGCTTGCAGGAAAGTCCTAGAAGAAACCACGAAACAATCATTACACTCATGCTATCAGTTCCATATGCACATGGAACAGAAGAGGCATAAGCTAGCAGGGCCCAAATCTTCCAAGTGAGACAGAATGAGAAACACAATGAAAGCCTTCAGAAAAGGAAAAATGTTTTTTAAAAGTTTTGAAGAGTAAAGGCATGTAGCAAGGTGACAGGGAGTTCGGTGTGGAGGAAGCAGCAGGTGTCACAGCTCAGGAGGGTAATGTTACACGACTCATGAGTGGCACTGTGAGTGGTTTCGAATGGTGGGCAATGCAGTTGAAGAGCTAGACAGACCAAATCATGAAAGGTCTTAAATTCAATGCCAAGAGTTTGATATTACTTCCTGAGCAATGATGTCAATGTTAATTTTGTGTCACTATTTCTCTGAGAATCCCAATTAATACACAAGGAAAATCACCAAAAGGTTGTAAGCAGAGAATAACATGATCCATTTTACATTTTGAAGAGTAATTTCAGTGACAGTGAGTGTAATTCAACTATTTTGTTAATTTTTTTAAAAGTGTGTGTGTGTGCACGTGTATGTGTGTGTGTGTGTGTGTTCCTTTCCAACCTGGGCTTGGTAGAAAGGCTCCCACAAACAAGGGCAGCAAAAAGAAGGGCCATTCTGCCATCAACGAGGTAGTGAGCAGAGAATACACCATCAACATTCACAAGCACATCCATGGAGTGGGTTTCAAGAAGCGTGCCCCTCGGGCACTCAAAGAGATCTGGAAATTTGCCCTGAAGGAGATGGGAACTCCAGATGTGTGCATTGACAACAGGCCCAACAAAGCTGTCTGGGCCAAAGGAATAAGGAATGTCCCATCCAGGTGTGGTTGTCCAGAAAACATAATGAGGATGAAGATTCACCAAACAAGTCCCATACATTGGTTACCTACGTAGCTGTCACCGCTTTAAAACACCTACAAACTGTTAATATGGATGGAACTTAATCACTGATTGTCAAATAAAATTATGAAACCGAAATTTTAAAAAGTGAGTGTGTGTGTGTGTGTGTGTGTGTGTGTGCGCTGCGCGCGCGCTCATGTGTATTTAGTATCTATGGTGTATAAGGCACTGAGATGGCATTAGGTTATAAACATAAAAAAAATAAACAAATACCACCCTTGCACCCATAAGTAGTTAAAGTACTTACAATATACACTTATTGAGTGGGAGATAAAGTAAGAGATTATTAAAAAACCCCATCAAGAAAAAATGGAAGCAGAAATGACAGGCTAACTATAAGATGGATCAGGGAGATTACCATTGGCAAGACCCTAGCTAAACAACTGAATGTGCGTTAGGAGTGATTTAAGAGAGAAAAATAAATAGAAGATGATCCCCAGGTTTCTGTCTTGGGAACCCCAGAGAAATAACATCAAGAGTGGGAGATTAAACTATTCATTTAAAAGAGTTAAATTATATTGTTAACAGATCTAGACACTTCACATAGATTAAACCATTCTATGGGGTAAGTATTATTACTCTCATGACCATTTTTGCTGAGTGTAGGGAAGATTAAAATGTCTAAACTGACACATTTTGCAAGTGGCAGAGCTGGACTCAGACTCGGAGAGGGCTGAAGCCCACCATGGCCCTTCACAGGCAGCAAAGTGGCCAGAATGTGCTGCCTCTCACATGACTCAGATGGCTGAGTAAACAGAAAGACACAGGCTTAGAAGCTCCTTTAAAATATGTAATTCTTTATAGCTCCGCCCCTTCATTTCAACTTTTTTCTTTTTTTTATCTTCATCCAAGGATATTTTTCCATTGTTTTTTTTCAAGAGAGTGGAAGAGCCGAAAGTGGTTTGGCTCAGTGGATGGAGCGTCGGCCTGCGGACTGAGGGGTCCCAGGTTCGATTCCGGTCGAGGGCATGTACCTGGGTTGCGGGCACATCCCCAGTGGGGGATGTGCAGGAGGCAGCTGATCGGTGTTTCTCTCTCATTGATGTTTCTAGCTCTCTATCTCTCTCCCTTCCTCTCTGTAAAAAAAAGAAATCAATAAAATATTAAAAAATATATTTTTAAAACAACAAAAAAAAGAGAGTGGAAGAGAGAGGAAAAAGCAAAGAGAAAAATCCATGTAAGAGAAACACATTGATTGGTTGCTTCCTGCATGAGCCCTGACCAGGGCCCGGGCCAGGGAGGAGCCTGCAACAGAGGTAGGTGCCCTTGACCGGATTGAACCCGGGACCCTTCCGAGGCTCTATCCATTGAGCCAAACCAGCTTTAGGGCTCTTCATTTTAACTTTGAAATAAGAAGTTTGTAGACTGCCATAAGCAGTTTCCCTGTCTGATTCTTCAGGCATGTGAGTTTAGCATGAAAAATTATCAGTTTTTTGGAAGTCATAAACCAATAGATACTTGCTAGTGGACTGATTTATTGAACTAGAGAGGTTTTCCTTTAACAAACTATCTGTAAATCATTGACCCAACACTTCCTTTTCACTATTTCAGCCACTGCAAATAGTATCCCTAGGTCTATGCATGGATTATGTACATGTACTTGGTTCTGATGTACACATGGTAATTCTATTCCAGTGCAATGATCTGGATATATTTGACCAAATGTGCTCTTGCTATACTTTTGAACATTCTCTTTAGGCATCATAAAGATATGCTTTCTTATGATCCAGCGATTCCACTTCTGGGAATATACCCGAAGAAACCCAAAACACTAATTTGAAAGAATATATGCACCCCTAACCTCATTGCAGCATTATTTACAATAGCCAAGATTTGGAAGCAGGCTAAGTGTACCCAACAGTAGATGAGTGAATAAAAAAGCTGTGGTACATCTATACAATAAAATACTACCCAGACATAAAAAAATAAAAAGCAAAGGAAATCTTACCTTTTACGACAGCATGAATGGACCTAGAGAGTATTATGTTAAATTAAGTAAGCCAGGCAGAGAAAGGCAAATACCATATGATTTCACTCATATCTAATGATAAAATAAACAAACAAAATAGAAATAAACTCAGACACTGACGGCTGTCAGAGGAGAAGGGAGTCTGGAGGAAAAAAGTGAAGGATTAAGAAAAAATAAACCTCACAGCATAGACAACAGTATGGGGGAGGGGAGGGGCAGGTAGAAGCATGTAAAGTGAAGCTAAATGGTGACAGAAGGGGACCTGTGGGTAGTGAACACACCATACAATCCTATATAATAAAAGCCTAATATGCAAATTGTTCAACCAGGAATTCAACCAGGAGTTCAACCACTCACTATGATGTGCGCTGACCACCAGGGGGCGGTGCGGAGCATGGTGAGTGTAGGCGATGCAGCACTGGCAGTGGGCGGCAATGGAGGCACTGCTGGCCCCCAGTAGGCCCCAAACAGAGTGGGACTGTGGTGGGATGGTGGAGCAGGTGAGCAGGCGGTGCCAGGCCAAGGTGGGTGTGAGCAGGGACCCAATCACCCCACAGATGGCGACAAGCAGCGGCTGTAGGGGCAGGGCCACTGCCCGGCTCCCAGGTGCTGTGGGAGCCAAGTAGGGGGCCCAGCCCCAATTGATCACCCCACAGGCAGGATGGTGGAGCAGGTGAGGGAGTGGCACCAGGCCAAGGTGGGGTGCCATGTGGGGCTGCAGGGCTGCAAGGCTGGGGGTGTAAGGTGAGGCTGCAAGCCTGTGGGTACGAACTGGGGCCTGATCCCCACAGGCCACCCCGAGGGACCCCACCCGTGCACGAATTCATGCACCAGGCCTCTAGTACATATATATTATAGAATTGTATACTTAAAAAGTCACCCTAATAAATTCAATATTTTTTCAAATATGCTGTGCCACTATTTTTTTCAAATGCAGAAAAAGTTCTTCAATGCCAAATGATAGCCAACATTTATGTAGCACTTCTGTACCCACTATATCCACTGCAACCACTGGCACCACTGTAACCACGTCACAGATACCTATCTCGTAAGGCCATTGTCAGATAGGTATTATTATCACCATCATCATCATCATCATCTCCATTTTACAAATGGGGAAACTGAGACTTGTAATGTCAAAGTCACAGGGATAGAAAGCCACAGAGACAAAGACAGAACCCAGAGTCCACAGTCAGCTCCTAGCTGCTGCACTGCACTGCCTCTCACAGAAAGGGTCTTCATCCTTCAACCTTCAGCCTTCCACTTCCAGAACTAGCTGTACTCTTCCTCAGGGAATATTAAAAAGAAACACTGAAGGAATTCTTCCAAGGCACAGAACAAGGGTTGGAAGTAGACTACAATTCTGAGTCACTACAGTCTGTACAGTACAGATTTGAAGAAGCCCTGTGTCACATGGGTCATTTTCTTTCCCTGCAGATAATCCAGGAACTGAAACCTTGAGTGGACTTCATGGCTCACCTTTCACTCAGGTCTTCCAGGAAAGGCAGGACTAAATGCCCTATTGCTGCCTATGGGGCAATGCAAACGCAGACCAAACCAAGCTGTGGCTGAGAAGAGAAAGATAACAGGGCTGAAAATGCACACCTCAGGAGCCAGAGTCCCTGCCAAGAATTTAACTGCCAAATCATTACTAGTGGACTCTGGACTCTTCATTGCAAGATTGAGACAGCATGAGTTGGAGGAAAGAGCCAACGTTTTTAATTTAGACAACCTTGAGATTCAGGCATGGCCTGCATTTGCTTGGTGAGTAACCCCATAGAACATTTGCAATCTGCCAGCATCTGTGTTCTCATTTGCCAAAAGAGATTGCAACTATTTTATAATGTTATTTGAGATATGAAAGAACTATATTTAAACTGTAAAAGTACTACTCAACAATGAGATATTATCATTATGGCTAAGCAACCAGAGTTTATTATCCACTGTTGCTATGCACATTATACAATTGGCTACGCCATTCTGAGTATGAACTAGTGGGTCAAAGCATTTTCTCTATGGGATAGGCCATATTTCATTAGTATTTACGTGCATCAGGCTACCTTTTAAATATATATGTATAGATAGGGTGTCCCAAAAAAATGTGTACACACTTTGAATAATTATTAGTTCTAATTGATTACATTTGAAAATAAAGAAACATCAATTGAGCTATCAGAAAAAATGTGTATACATTTTTGAGGGGACACCAGGTATTTTTATAAAATGTTTATTTGTTCACATTCTGCTTTCTAAAGACCACATTTGGATGATTTGGTTTCTTTATGTTATGCCTCTCCTTAGTATCTTGACTATGCTGACACTACCTAATGATATTTGTTTCTGGAAGATGTAAAAAATGTGGAGAAATGAAAAAGAGAGGAAACTTTCTTGGTAGGAAATTCCTTGTTTATAACAAAAGGGTTCAAATCATTTTTTTCCCTAGATATTCATTATTGGGAGCATGTATGTGTATCTTCTGGGAAAAAGCTATGATTTAAAAACCTCTTTCCTGACATACTTTATCAAAATTATACTTAATTATTAAAACTTACAAGAGCAAATAACAATGAAGAAAAGAATCTACGTACAATCTTTTTTCAAATGAGATCATTTAAAAATTGTTAATAGAATTATATAGGTTTTATACTAGCAATTGAATCTATAATTCAGCAAGTAATTATTCTTCTTGTTTTGTTTAGGAGGAAGAAAATTGTTACATTGTAAATTTCAAGTTTTATTTCTTCTAAAGAAAATACTTTTTAATGGCAAATGTGCAGCATACTGAAAAATATTTTATCTTATTGATTCAAAGAAAAATAACTTCCAGGTAAAATCTAAATATAGGTAACAATCTTAGTGAAAATTTACCACAAGCTGACTTCTTTTTAAGGATTTTTGGGACTCTAAATACAAGCTCTGAAGAGGGAATAAAAAGGTCTGAAAGAAAATACAATAGGTTCAAGATAATAGCAGCCTTGAGAAGCAGTCAGGAAAAGGATTAAGTTTAGAGATGGTGGTTGAGCTTTGCAATGAAGAAATTTCATTTATATTAATTCAAGGCCATAACTCATAACTTCAATTTAAATTCTACTTTGCCCCTACTAATTTTGGAAACCATTCAGATATAAAGCCCATGTAAGAAAAGATAATGATCATGTATATGAATATCCATATTTTTAATATCAGCACCAAAATATATATATATAACTTTCCCTACTCTTTCACTCAAATATGAAATATAGGCTTTATACTGTTTTCAATATGACTTATTTTCAAGTACATTTTTTCACTTATTTTCTAACTAAAGAAATATACACGAAAAGATTTCATACAAAAAAGGACTTCTGAAATGTAGCATTAGTGAAAGAAAGAAATAAACATGATATAAAACACTTTCACAGAACTGATCATGTCTCTTAATTGAGAGATGCTTGTTTTTTCTTAAAGTTTTGAATAGATTGTCTGGTGTCACAAAATGACATGCCATTATATTTAATACTATGACAATGTCCCAAAGACAAAGTCAGAGATGCAGCATTTTCCTGTACCACATTTAAAGCTGGGGAAAAAAAAAGAAGAAAAAAAAAAAAAGCACTCCATGGAGAACACATTGTGCTACTGAGAATACCAGGTGTGGCCATGTGAATGCCAAGGTGAGAATAGCAATGCAGGCTTTCATGAGGATTACAGACCAACACAACATCTGCAGGCGACTCGGTGGGTCCCGGAATCCACCCAGTGATTGCACTGACCTGGTAGTAAAGTGATCTTCATTCATGCTTTTAATCTTCTGCTCTGGAGATTTTATTTATGAATGTGAACTTAGCTTCAGTACTCATGGGTTTCTAAATTTGGAGATTAGACATTGGAATAGTAATTAAAGAGTCACATGTGTTTTTAAAAATCCAATTCAATAGCAAATTATTTTGGAATTCTCCCTTACACATTGGCAAGATTTTTTTGAACTAGGTTTATTTTTAATTTTTTTTGCTATTGCCTTTTATGTTTATGCATTGGTTTATCAAGTTAATCAGTCTAGGGATATTGACCAACTCCTTCAAATACCATTGAAAATGCTCTGTGTTATATTTTGGTTAAACTCTGATTCCTGGATCTAGGTAAAAACTACCATGAAGGACAAAAGGGTAAAAAATTCTTAGGATATAAGGGTTTGTTTACTAGAGAGCCACAAGTTAGCTCTTCTCAAGATTTTGTTGATCTTTGAAGGTAGCTCCTAGTACAGGATATTAAATCAACGAATTGTGGTGTAAGTATGGTTATTCTGAAAAGCAGTGGAGGGTAGCACAATTTGCCACCCCAAAATAAGCCACTTTGGCATATTGATTATTTTAAAGTGTAGCACTTGAAAAACAGCAAATGCAGAGAGAGGCTTTATCTGAACTTCCCTTATCTTCCTAAAGACAGGTCCTTCAAAAGGAACTCAATTGTCATAAATTCCCTCTCCAGGAGTTTCATCAATCAGGGAAAATAAACTCTCATCACAGGAGCGAAGACTGGAAGTCAGTCCATACTTCACCCAGACAAACTTTGTCACAAACTACCATTCCTCCCATCTATCTTCTAAAGGTCCGTTAATCTTTCCTAAAAATCATTTATTCTCCTTTAAGAGGCCTGTACTCCCTCATCCCTTTCCCTATTAAGACAACATTGAAGCCTGAATTCTAAACCACCTCTTTGAGCAACTCGTTTTTTTCTAGGTATCTCCCAGGTATACATGAATTGTGCATGTTAATAAACTTTTTTTTATTTTTCTCATATTAAACTGTCTTTTATTTGAGGGGGGGTCTCAGCTAAGAACTCAAGGGTAGAGGGAAAATTATTGTTTCCTCCCTACAGCAGGACACCGTAAAAGTTATAACTATTAAACAATAACATTGCTTATACTAAGTGACAGCCTCTGAAAATTTCATTACCAGTTCTATGTAAAAATGGGAATGGGACAGAAGTCATTTGATGGGAAATCTATGTGTATCTTTATGAAGGAAATTTCCCTTATTTACAATCAGATTTCTGAGAACCTGACCCAAATGGCAACTACTAAAATTAAAATATAATTATTCTTGGATTCTTACAGGCCACTAAATGCTACATGCATATGAAATTTCTCTCTTCTGGAATAGTTCAATAGCACACCAGCAGCATTTTTTAATTGATTTCATTATAATTGTAAAACATAGTAATTGTAAAAATCTCAAGCTATTCGAAGGATAAAAAGCAAAAATTAAAAGTCCCTTTACTTAAAAAAAAACCCTGTAGTTTTACTCCACTTAGATTCAATACTCTTTAGTTTCCTATGCATCCTTCCCACATTCTTAAATCTTGCATTAATTTTTAACTCTCCTCAAAAGATATAATTATCTAGTCATGAGCTAAACTGAAAAGAAATTAGTAATGAGTACAATACATTTAAAGCATCAATTAGCAACTTTCTCATGCAGAATCTTTTTGTTTCTTGTGCATACATATAGGTAATCTGTGTAAATAATTATATAGGAACTAGGGGCCCAGTGCATGAAATTTGTGCATGGGAGGGGGTCCCTCAGCCAGGCCTGCACCCTCTCGCAATCTGGGACCCCAGGGATCGGGCCTATACCGGCAGTCGGACATCCCTCTCGCAATCTGGGTCCACTGGCTCCTAACCACTCGCCTGCCTGCCTGCCTGATTGCCCCCCAACCACTCTGCCTGCCTGCCTGATGCCCCTAACTTCTCGCCTGCCTGCCTGATCGCCCCTAACCACCTCTGCCTCGGCCCCCACCACTGCAGCTTCGTCTGGAAGGACGTCGGAATGACGTCCAGAAGGCTGTTTGGCTGTCCAGTCTAATTCGCATATTATGCTTTTGTTATTATAGATAATATAACTATCACAAATGATCCAAAGTTACTCAAAAGGAAACCTTACAAGTTTCTAGAAAATTACTGCTTACCCCCTGAAGGATTTCTCACTCATATAAGAAAATTTTAAAAAATTATTTTAAATATTAAATTTGAGTGTTTTATATAAATATCTTTATTTTAAACTCTATTTTGGAAAAAGCAACAACAACTGTTTGGGGATCCAATAAAATCCTGGCTGCTTTTAAAACAATTTGTGGAAATCCTGGGTGTTTGATAGATAAATGTTTGCCCACTCAAACCATCTGCATCACAGTTTAAAAAAAAAAAAAATCACAACAGTAAGTTTTAATACTGCACTATTGCAATATAAATAGAGTTGTAGTATTCATTCCAAAATACAGTTTCCCAAAAAGCCAAAGATTTCTGAAGAGCAGTACAACTAGCCCAGACATTAGGAAATCCCTTTAATGACAAACAAAAAAGTTTATAAAAAGCATTTTTTCATCCTAATGTATGAAGAGCAGGAAAGTAAGGTAAAAAAGAATTATTATGCAGCAGAGGTGGGATTCCAAATCACTTAATTATATCCAATTTATCTTCCTTTGCTATGTATATTAATTTCAAACAGTTCTTTATATTGGAATTAAGGATTTCTCGAAGTTATTAATAACTAATCTGAACAAATACATGAATAATAAAATAGTTATTCATAGGTATTTATTGACTTTCTATAGATTACAATGAAATTACCTAAAAATAAAGACAAAATGATAAATGATAACATAACAAATAATTTTATAATGAACCTGACTTCCTGCTAAGAAAAAAAAAGAGTTTTCATTTTTGGCAGGATAAGGAATCTTAAAAGACGCATAGCTCTGGAGTTCTTTCCCTATCTTGGTCTACAGGTTTTCTCCAGCAAACACACTTATGATAGCTTTTCCTCCATTAATTTTACAGAGAATATACTTGGAAGCTATACCCTATGTCTATAAACACATATACACCCATGCTTCCTCCCTATTCTTCATCACAGACAATCACTAGGAATCACCCGTAGCTGTTTGCTGGAGAACATGTCTACCTGAGCCTTGGTAATACATCCGGTCTCTAGCAAAACTCATCTGGAGAGATGTGGGAAAATCAGCTTATCCAAGTCTTGTTTTGCCTTTGACTTCAAAGGACTCAGATATGGAATAAGCTTTGTGGGATACAAAAGGAAGGGAAGGATTTGGCCAAGAGAACAGAAGAGTGAGATCAAAGTACAAAGCTGTGAGAAAGCCTGAAAAACACTTCATTGCACTTCAGGGCCACTGGCTCTGCACTTAGAACAAAACCAAAGTCATCCAGACTTGTCAACTAAGTGAAGAAGCCAATGAGGATAAAAATGTCATTTTAAATGTTTTAATAGAATGGTTGAACTTATTTAAGCATGAGGAATTTTTTCTCTTCATCCAAAGCCAAAGTAAACTGATGTATATTTTTGAATACTGCAAATTCTTATTTGCCATTAATTTTGAATGTGGAGAGTAACAATTCAAGTATGCTCGGGGCAAAAAATAAAAATCAATATAGTGCTTATTTGAATTCTAAAAATAAACCAACCTTTTACATATATAAAAGTATAGTCTACCTTCTTTGTACTATATGTACTTATTTTTCCAGTAATGCTACTGTCATTCAAGTATTTTTTTAATTCTCTTTATAATGAAATTGGGGCCTCTGAAGAAAATTTCCCAAACTTTGACAGGTTTTTAGTGGAAATATTTTGTTCTGGCCGCAGACTAATATATCTCCCTCATGTGATTTTTTTTTAATTTTTAAATATAGATATAAAAATAAATAAAATAAAATCACCCACAATTCCTTTGTCACATTAAACTTTTAATATCTATTCTTCCAGAATGTTTCTATGAATCTGTCATGTGGCGATAATATTTTATAAAATGGTATCATTCTATATATGCTATATTTTACTTATTATATATGTTATATATAATGCATACATACCTATATATTTAATTATAACATACGAAGCAGCACTGGGATAATTCTTAGTCTATTACAGAACAAAAGGGGTGCTGAACAGGAAGTGAAAGGGCCCTCAGGAACATCAAGCAGCCAACTTGGGGGAAATGGGGAGTTACTAAAGAAAGGGAGGTAGGACAGAATTGGAGTGTTTGAAGGTGAATACTTGGCCGGCTAGGGTGGACTAGAGAGGAGATGCAAGGTGCCTTGGCTCAAGACTAAACTCTTGCCAGAGGCTATAATTAATTTTAATCATTTCAAGAGCCATTTTGCTAAATTACCTTTTGGTTTTTGCTTCACTACTTTTCATAAGTAGTGCTGATTCATCAAGGTTAATTCCACCCTTGGAGTTTTCTGATTTTTTTCTCCTAAATGAACAAGTTAACATCATACAAAGGAGCTTAATATCTAAAAATAATCCCTCTACTGAAAGGAAGCAGCACGAGTTTGCCGAAGTCCACGCTAACTGGGATAATTGCATCTCATCCCCTAGTATTTTGAGCATAATAATCACCAGCTCCACCTCATCCTGCCTCCGTGACAGCCAGAGGGAAACAAATTATAGGAAAATCACTCCCAGTAGTTATAATGGATTCAAAAGCAGGACAGAAACATCATAACTAATTACAACAAAAAAAAAGATAATTAGGTGAGCGAGAGAGACAGAGACGTGTTTGTTTATCTAAGCTTATTGAAGTACTGGACCAAAACTTTTTTGGGTTAGTTGCCATCAATAATTGAGAGAATGAGAAGATGTCTATTTAAGACTGAATGCTAAGCAGGTGAAGACTAAATTAAGTCATGATGAATTGCTATTATTGGTCCAGTGTCTTTATGTTCCCTGGATAGTCACCGGGAATATATGCAAACAAATGGACTTAATAATTTATACATTCTATATATATAAAAGGCTAAGCGACCATCCGACTGTCCGACCATCCAGTAGCTATGATGCGCACTGACCACCAGGGGGCAGACGCTCAACACAGGAGCTGCCAAGCTGTGGTCACTTGACAGCGGCGGTTCTTGGGTGATGCACCCCAGAACCAAAGAGGAAGGAGCCCGATTCCTTGCAATTCCTCTTACACTCCGGGACCCCTCGGGAGATGTTGGAGAGCCAGTTTTGGCCCAATCCTTGCAGGCCAGGCCAAGGGACCCCACCTGCCAGAGGGGCCCCGGGAGGGGAGGGACCACGGGAGGTTGGCTTCAGGGCATGTCCACCCATCTTGTCCAGTCCTGCCCCTACTGCCACCACCCGGGACCGCCTGCATTAGTCCTTGCACCGGAGGGACTAATTTCCTTTCAATGTGCACAAATCCATGTACTGAGACACTAGTTCTCAATAATTCTATTGGCCATGAGGGTGAAATTTGATGTATTCAAACTCAAAGTCATTTATGTGAAATTGCTTCACCAAAAATTATCTATTGAAGTCATGTTAAATGGTCTTGCCATTGATTTGCATTGACCATCTTTAACTTCTATGTATTAAAGTTCATTTAATATGTTTTTTATAATAGTTACTACAAATGTCAGTTGCCTCTTTCTTCAAAATGTGGCACCTTAAATTCCATTTACATCAATGTTGTTCCCAACTGAAAGGAAAAAAATATTATAATTCACTTAATAAAATGTATTTCCTTTAAAAAGATTCATTGTCCTTTTCATGTGCACAAACTTGAACTTTAAAAAAAAAAATCTTTTTTATGTAAATTTAAGGGTTTGAATCATAAACCCAGGAGGAAAACAAAGATAAGACCGGCTAAGTAAATATACCATCCCAAAGCAGTTAAAATGACAATTTCATTTTTACTCTTTCTTGCTATAAAATTTTCTTCATACCATTTGATCTGAGAAAACTTTCTGACTTCTAGGCTCAATATAGAAATGAGTTATTGCAAGCACTAGAACAAAGACGTGACTTAGAAAGAAAGGGTTTCCATTCCTGCTATGCTTTAAGTCCTTCGGTGGCATTAGACTTTCTATAACTTTAGAAAATAAACATGCTACCAACTGTCCTCAAAACTAATTTTAATGAATGAATTTGATACAGGATATAATGTGATACATAAGCCTAAATGTTATCCCTGCAGACCTTTTATTGAACTATCTTATGTCAAGTCTAAGCACAGTATATAGAGAGAATTAAAGGTCTCAAGTAATCTCAAGAGAAGGCAGTTACTTCCATGTTGAGTACCATTCACATAAGTTAAAATTATAGACACCCAAATGCAAAAGAAAGAAATTAGATACCTACCTTACACCGTTCTGAAAAAAAATCACTCAAATTGGATCATAGTCTTAACTGCAAAAGCACAAGTGACAAAGTCAAAAAAATAAATTAGATTTAATCAAATTTAAAAGTGGTTTTGCTGCATTAGAATATCATGAAGAAAGAGAAAAACAACACACAGAATGAGAGAAAATATTTTTTAAATCAATCTGATAAAGGTCTAATATCCAGAAAGAAATGAAAAAAAAAAAAAAAAAACACACACACACACACACTCCTGCAACTTAATCTAAATAAAGATAAACATCCCAATTAAAACGGGTATTCATTTTAATGGGCATTTCTCCTAAAAAGATATACAAGGTGCTAAGAACATGAAAAGATGTTCACCATCATGTGTCACTAGGGAAATGAAGTTAAAACCATAATGAGATAGCATTTCACAAGCATTAGGATAGCTATTATATAAAAAAAATAAAAATAAAAATAAAGGCAGACAATGAGTTTTTCATGAGGCTGTAGAGAAGTTGGAACTCTCATACACTGTTGGTGAGAATGTAAAATGGTGCAACCACTTTGAAAAATAATGCATCAAAATGTTAAACATAGAGTTAACGCGTGACCCAACAATTCAACTCCTAGATAATAAATCCAAGGAAATTGAAAACATCTGTTCACTTGCACATAAACGTCTACCACAGCATTATTCATAATAGCCAAAAAACTGAAACAACCCAAATGTCCAAAAATTGGTGAATGAACAAACTGAATATGACATATTTATATCCATACAATGAAATAACATTTGTCAACAAAAAGAATGTATTAGTAATGCTCCAACAAGGATCAACCTCAAAAAGATCATGCAAATGAAAGAGGCCAGATATTAAATGATTCCATTCATATAAAGTGTACAGAACTGACCAACCTATAAAGACAGAAAATAAATTAGTGGTTGTCTAGAGCTGCGCAGCAGTACCGGAGAGGGAAAGAAAGGTGGGCTAGTGGGAAGTGACTGCTAAAGTGCATACGTAAGCCTTTGGGGGGATGATGAAAATGTTCTAAAATTTGATTTGGTGATGGTTGCACAATTGTGAAAATACACTAAAAACCATTGAATTGTGCATGTTAAATTTTGAAGTCTATACATTTAGATTATATCTCAATAAAGCTGTTTTTAAGGCATGCATTTAAAAAGAAACTATGCAGAACAAATTATATCTTCAAGCCCTGCCTCTGAGACTGTATTCTCAATCATATAATGTTGCATACAGGGAATTCAATTTGATTATATATCTGGTCCTTAAATTTTTTTTTTTACTGCTTAAAGTATTACAAAGAGTATTACATATGTCTCCTTTTTTTCCCCCAGCCCTTGACAATTCCCTGGCCTCCCCTACCCCCCAGTGTCTTATGTCCATTGGTTATGCTAGGTCCTTAAAATTTTTTACTTCATCCTACACAAACCATTCTGCTATTCAATTACCAAGCAGAACTAAACTCCTTTGCTAAGGACACACACAAAAGCCACATTTATTCCGAAAGTAGGTGCCAAGAACATTGTTGGAGCGGAAGTAAAAGAAGACTAATGATGCTAGAAGCCAGGGGTATCATGGTTGAAGGGAGTGCAGTGACCTTTCTGAATCACTGTAGTGGCATCCTGCAGAGACTTGGGGCTGGATTAGTGAACATTTTGGAATATACTAGCCCAGTCCTTCAAAAACGTGTACTGATCATCTTGCTGGTCCCAGTTAGCACACTAGTCTCAAGCCCACAACTGGGTCCAGGTAGGTCTGGGCATGGCTGATAGATCATTGCTTTGGCCACATGGGGAAATGAAGGGTTTTATGGCAGAAATCCAACGGGAGGAGGACAGTAGGCAGAGCAGATTGGCCCAATAACCCAGAGCATGTCAGGAGGGTGGAGCACAGCCCTCTGTGGTCTCGGTCGCTTTGATTTGCTTTCCAGTCCCAGTTCCCAAGGATTCATGTCTGACACCTATGACAGAGAGTAGACTATGAGTAGAAACTGAAGAAAACAGATCTCTTCCCCAAACATATCTTTACTTTCCTCGTCCAGGTATTTCTAGCCTCAAAATAAAGTGTAGAACGGTATATACAACATACCATCATTTGTGTGAAAAGTAAATATTTTTGTATTTGCTTGTATATACATAGAATAACTCTAAAAGAATTAACAAAAACTAATAAGACATTTTAACTCATATGAGGGGACTTTGGGGTCTGGGAAAAGGTGTAGGAGAGAGTTTTTATACTTTTCTTTTGTGTATCTTTTGTTCTTCAAAAATTTTTGAACCATATGGATATATTATCTGTTCAAACATAAAATTAAAACTAAAAAGTGCCATATATATGTACACATATATGTATGCATATATGTATGTATATGTGTATGTGTGTGTGAATATAGATAGATAGATAGATAGATAGATAGATAGATAGATAGATAGATAGATATAATTTCCTGGGAAAACTCTATTTATCTGAAAAATAAAAAATAATCAACTGAAAAACTATGAGAAGCCATAAGTAGCTTACTAATTAAGCTACTTAAAAAATTAGTTCACAAAAATCAATAGCTTTCCTATACTGAAATATATATGTGCATATATGCAATACAAAAGAAGGGATGTTAGCATTTGAGAAAACAACACAACTCTGAAATAATAGGAATAACAGGTAAAATATTCTAAAACAGGGTCTAGGGTAAAGAGAACTTGAAAATTCTAATAAGGAAAAAATAAATAGAAATACATCTTGTTCTTGGATACAAAGACACAATATTGTAAAGATGGCAGATCTCTCTGAATTAATTAATAAAGTCAATGTGATTACCCACAAAATTACAAATAAAATTTTATATTTTGGAACTTCATAAGAATTCTATGGGGAAAATAGAAATGAAAAATATAGAAATATAAGCAGGCTGGGATAGCTATAATAGACATAAAAAAATAGCAGTTATGGAAAACTAGGCCCTTATGTATTTAAAACATACATTAAAACATGCTTCAGGAACAAACAGCTCATCAGGGTAGAACCCCAAAATAGAGCAAAATGCATGTGATAATTTAGTATATGATAAGGATGGCTTTACAAATAAGCTAGAAAAAGCTGTATTAATCAATTAGCTAGTTATTTGTGAGGGTAAATAAGATCATTATATAAAAATAAATTCCAAATATATAAAATATTTCAAAATAAAATATGAAACCAAAAAACAATGGGCACTTAGGAAAAGAACTTAAACTGGGGATCGAGCTGGGAGCCTGGGCATGTGCTCTTGACCAAAATCAAACCCAGAACCTTCAGTCCACAGGCTGATGCTCTATCCACTCACCCATACTAGCTGGGTTTTTAAGTTTGGGCCTAATAAGAGACCCTCTCTCCTCACCTACTGGATTAATTCCATGTCTGGGCTGGGTGTGGCCTTTCATCAATGCCACTATCATCCTAGATTAGGCTCATAAATGCTCATAAAGTGTCTTGTTCTATCTAGTACTGCCTCGTCAAATCTCTCCAAGACTAAACCTAAAGGAAACAGATGTAACACTAAGAGAAGACTCATAGAATTAGCAAATAATGTCTTAATAGTGTTTGTTTCATTTCCAATAGTCTGGGTGGGATTTTTCTTACTATCCAGTGTAAGGGGTTTGAGGAACCCTATATCCCAGATATAACATTGAGTTCAAAGAGATTAAAAAGGAAATGCATTATAATTAAGGGTACAATTGCAAAGGACAACCTACATTTATTTCAACAGGTTTATTTGAATATCTGCATGAAAGTACGCTGCACACGTCTGTATTTACCCTGTGGCCTTTGCTCATGTTTCTCTTCTGTTTTTGTATTTTGCTTCCCAAGCAACATTGATTAAGTATTAAGCAAGATCAGAGAGGAAGTTTAAACAATAATGATTGTTACTCAGAGACACTTCAAGTCAAAGCATGTCCTACAGAACACACAATAAATTTTGGAATTCTGATGTACAAACCTTGTTAGCTTACATTACTGGAATTAGTGCTCTTCTCCAATTCCATTCTATTTACTAGTGTATAAATTAGGATTCCAACAGGAAACAGATGGTGCACTCAAATTGGGATAATTTGAGGAGGGTTTATTTACAAAGGGACTATTTACAGAAGTGTGGGTATCAGAGTCACAAAGGATAGTGTGAGAATGCTGAGCTGGTCACAAGTTGACACCCTATGTCCATAAGGACTTGAGAAGGAGTAGTCATTGGATGGGGCAGACGAGAGTCATACAGAGACATCCCCCTTAAAAGGATGAGCGACCTTCCAAGGAGAGTACAGCCAGCTTCAGAGCATCTGTCAGGGAGGTCACTCTCTTCCTGTCTCCAGTTCAACAACCCAACAGAAGGCATAGAGGGAATGGCAGCTTTAATGGCCTTAGTCACCAGTGCCACTTGAGGATACCTCTCCACAAGGTATCAAGGAGAATAAATACTTCTGGTTCTGCTGCCGGGATTCCCTATAGCGATTCTCCGATGGCCAAACCTAACCAAGAGCCAGAAGACACAGCGCCAGTTGATAAAGTATAAATGAGTCAACTTCCTGGGGCAAAGATCAAGATAGAAAAAGGAGGCCTAATAACATACCCAACACATATGATTAAATTGCTGTGCCTACACATGCTCCATAACACACAAATATACTTACATGTATAACTTGAAAAACACTCCGAAAATAATTTTCCCTGAAAACTTGTACCTTATTGATGTCTTTCATGTTCAAAATTTCCACCATCTGATACTTCAGAGATGTAATACTGCTGAAAATCTAATGTTGGATAGCACTGGTAGTGAATTGGAAAGGAAAAAAGGAACTAATATTTTTTAATACAAGCCCCCCCTACATAGCCTATCTCGTTTATTCTTAAAAATAACCCTATGAGTTATCAGTTATCACCCACATTTTAAAGATAAATTGAGACTTGAGTAGTTCAAGTAATTTTTCCAAATTTACTCAGAGAATACAAGGTGAATCACTGAACCCAGGCCTGTCTGATTCTAAAGTCCATTCAGTTCATCCC